ATGTTGCAAGGGTTTTAACAAGTTACATGTATATTTATAATAATAATAATCGTCCGTGCATTTGATACAGCGCCTTATCACGTCTTCGAAAGTGAATTGACTATATTTTGCGGGCGAAACGCGGCAGCCAATTGTGCACAGCGGTGTCCCACAAACAGTCGTGGATTGAGTGACCCATTTTTTTTAAGGAATTAGTACAAGGCAAATGGAGTGTGTCCAGATTTGTGTGGATATATACATGGTCAGCAGTTTCTGCTCATTCAATACCGTCATCGTTAGGAATTTTAAATCCTTCACTTGAGTCTAAATCCATACACAGCATTAGCCATCAACTGCATTTAGGATGTGGTAAAATAACAACATCTCCAGAGCACTTTCATTGAAATACAGTAATATATTAGTGTTTCAGGTAACAGCCCATCTTGTTCAAATTCACAACTGGCCCTCAGTATTACATATTGCACCCTTGGGTGCTCAGGCATAAATGCCACAAAACCAGCCTCATGGTTCACTGCCAAATTTAGCTTGAACACCTTAACCCACGCCTCTTCCTCGCAAAGGCAAACAACACATTTGACTCCAGTGCTATCCTGGAGACGAAGAACAGTCTTAGACCTGTGGCTTGAGTGCCCAGCCCCCTTGAGGACTGGAGATAAGAGCAGAATTTTAGACAAAAAGACAGAAATAAACAAAATGTTAACACTATTGGTAGGACTCGAACCTTGAATTGCAAAAAAGATATCTTGCTGATGATAATCTCTCTTTAAAATCAAGTATTGAAATATCAAATTTTCCGTTGTTGCCTGGTAACTGTTACCTGGGGGAAAATTCTATGAGTGTCAGTGGGTGGGGATATTATTTACATTTATAGCCATGCAACATTTCATGTTGTTGACTCTTTGTGCACTGGAAGCATAATTTAAAAATCTATTTGGCAATGGACAAATACTGCAGCAGGATTTGTTGCGATAGTAATAGCGATCCCATCTTAAAGATAAATAATGAGAATGTGGCATGGACTAGCTGGTCTGTTTCGTTGCTAGAGATTTTACGTACGTAATTCTAGATACATGTGTAAAGCAATTAACTGAACTAAAATAACTAATACAACACAAAATTGCATTTGTATAGTGCCTTTCACATCGGGAGGCACTGGACAATCAAGGATTTGGACCCGAGCTAGGGTGGGGGGGGTTGGGTGGGTGGGATCAGGAGGGTGGCGGGCAGAGGTTAGGAGGATGGGAAGGTGGAGAGGAGGTTCTGGAGACGTGCCTTGAAGGAGGCAAGGGAGGGAGAGACATCTAATGCTAGAGATGTCAATCAATTTCAGGCCTGAAACCACAGCCACGTTACGAAGTGGCAAAGCTGTCAAAGATCTCCTCCTCCCACCTCCCATCTCAGCATCATCCTCTTCATCATGGGTCCCACTCTTAACATTGGGTAGGTTCCAGCAGGTGCCCTCCACTCCTTCCGCTGCCATACTCTGAGCAGGACAGTACATTTCACTGCTGAACAGAGTGCATGGTACTGTGAATGCTTTTCACAAAATTTGTTCAGATGAAGAAGGCCCTTTGGCCCATCTGATCTCATCCTTCCAGAATACCCACCCGATCATCCTCCTATGACAGCACCAGGCTGTTTTTAAATGAGTTATTTTGATTTTTTTTTTACCCCCTCTGGGTAAATGCCAGAGAGTTGAATGGCATTCAGTTCTGTCATAGCACAAGGAAGTTATAAATCTCACTCTTCCACATGGCAGAAGTTTTCATTATTACTGGATAAAAGTATTATCTGCTTCTTCCAACAACCCCAAGGAAGTCAGTCAAATCAATCCTGACTCCTGTCTTTTGCAACCAGCTATTCCCTCGTTAAACCAACGATGTCAACAATAAATTCCATTTATATAGCGCCTTTCATGTCGGAAAACGTCTTGGAGCGCTTAACAGTGGCGGAGCCCGATGCCGAGCCAGGGGAAGGGAGAAGGTGACCGTAGGCGCGGTTGAAGAGGAAGGTTTTCAAGCCCGACCTGAAGATGGGGAGAGAGGGGGGTGCAAGGTGAAGGGATTGAGGGAGAGAGTTCCACAGCTTCGGAGCGTAGTGGCTGAAGGCATGGCAGCGGAGTGTCTGAGGGGTAAGGAAGAGTCCGGAGCCAGTCGGGCGGAGGCAGCAGGTAGTGGTGCAGGGAGAGAGCAGGTTGGAGAGAGACGGTGGGGTGGGGTGGGGGGGTTGCCAGGGCGCGAATGGATTTAAATACAAGGGTGAGGATCTTGAAATTGATCCGCTCTGCAACAGGGAGTCAGTGGAGTTTGACAAGGACTGGGGTAATGGAGGTACGGAGTTTAGTGTGGGATGTCAATGCAAGTGGTTTGCATCATACAAATCTGCTAACACTTGCTCCAGGTGGAATACATTGTCCGCATGTCAAAATACTCTGGCTCCTTCCAAGCTTCATGACGTACGTACAGAAATATGCCACATGCACATGCCTGAGCACATGCAGTGATAATTTGAATTTGAGTCATGCCACATTTGGTACGTACTTGCCTGAAAGGAAGTGGGGCTCAAATCAGTAAGTAGGGCAGGTTCAATGTATTTGTGCGGTCATGACATAATTTTGTTTCGGAAGAGCTTCAGTTGTCGTACTATTCCAGCAGGCAGTGTACGAGTGTAGAAATTTCTGACTCCGTGGTTACATAGTTTGATTTTTTTTGAGTAAAATAGATGTTTTGCTGAAAAGTTTTAAGCCTGCAAATGATTATTCAACATTTGGTTTATACGCAAGGTCAGAAAACTCGGTGATTAATCACCTATACAAAACAATATCTATCAGTCGGTAAATTAGCTTGCTGAATATTATCATCAGTTGGAATCACAGGTCACCTCTTTTTGACAAATTTAAATGATTAAGACACTTGGGGAGAAAGCCCAGTGTTATCAACATTTTTGACACAAATGTAGTCATTTCACAAGTTTGTGCAAAATACAATGAACATAAGTCAATTCTTTGATTAAATTAACTTGTCAAATGCTCCAGTCAATGAATAAAAATTCTCACTAAACGTTCTCCATTCTGTAAAAATTGCCTGTTCAGATTGGTGAGAGGTTGAGATCAAATGGATCAAAGAGTCTTGAAGCTTCCCTCTCATGTGTCCTTAGAAACATAGAAAACAGGAGTAGGCCATTCAGCCCTTCGAGCCCGTTCAGCCCTTCTATAAGATCATGGCTGATCTGTACCTCAAATCCAATTATCCACCCTTGCCGCATATCCCTTAATACCCTGTCCTAACAAATAGCTATCCTTGTAGCTGGTACCTGTATTTAGATTATAAATGTTGATTTATTTGTGTTTGGAAACTAACAATTGGCCAACCTGGAAAATCAGTTAATTGCAAAAGAAAGTGATGTCCATTGGTAAGGACGAAGCCAACATTTCATTCAACCACAATCCATATTAGCAATAATGCAGTAGTTGCCCAAGACCATAAATGATTTCCTTTATTTTTTATGGAATATTCCATAATGCCGGAGAATAAGTCAAATACTCCAGGGATTATTCCATCGTCATTAGGCAAAGTATTAGGAACATCTCTCTTGTGGCAGTTAGGGTTTGATGAGCTGTTGCTGAATTTTTTTGAGACAATTGCTGAACTAGAGAATAATTCCCTATCGCATTGCCTGAATTTTCAGGCTGAAGCTCGGGTCCAGGAAAATCAGGCAAGTCATCAGCAGATTAGGAGCTCTCTGGTGCCCACATGGGAATAAAAAGCAGGAGGGATTTTTCTAAAAAGGTTTTGCGTTTTTTTCTTGACAGCTGATCAGTCCTCAGGTTGCTCCAACATAATGTTGTAAACCACTGTCTGATGGTAATGCACGCCATCCTGTGTGAATTGTGCTCTATAAATGTAAATTGTCATTGTTGTTTTCTGGTAAAAGATGGCCATTTTCAAATGAAACAAAATGGGAAATTGCGATCTAAAGCCATTAACATTATCAGCTTTATTGCCCACGCACGCATAGAATTACAATACATTCATGTACACATACATACACAAAGTTTAAAAGGAGAAAGCAAGGAGTCAATCACCATTTCCCCCTGCAGGGTCCTGAGGGTAAAATCTCGCTTTTTGTAAAATATAATTTAGTGGGTAAAAATATCTTTCTAATTTTCTCCCCACTAGTACTACGCTATCAGGGCTCCCACACACCAACATTTTAAAATCAGATCAATTAACACAATTTTTTTTAAAAAACTTTAAAGAAAGGTTATTATGTAGGTTAAATATAAATCCTCAACAGTAACATGACCAAAAGTATTAACTTTACTGGTGTTCCTTGCAGGGGAGGAATCGATGGCATTTAAGAATATATAATTTGCTGTAACAATAAGATTTATATCACAATACTGGGAAAACAGTTTACACTGCAGATTCTTGCTTTTTTTCTGACCTCACCTCGGGCCTAAACTTTATCACGAACATTCATTCATAAGACTATCATAAATATTAGTTCTGAAACGCTGACAATTATGTATTGAAACAGTTAAAGTTAATAATTAAAATAAAACAAAATTGTTCAGGTTTCCGACCTAGTATTCGTGAGACTATTTGGTATTAAATTTTAATTTTAAGGATTATACGGAATTGTGAAAAATTCTTCAATTCAGCCTTTAACCTAAAGCCAATTTTCCATAGGTAGTAAACAGAAACAGCTTCTAAATGAACGTATTAAACTGTTCTCTCCAATTTTCCACCAACTACAACAAAATGATCTCACAAGTTAAGACTTGGTGACATTTTCCATCCTGAAACTTTGATTTTAAATTCAGCCTGTGGTTTTTTTTTCAGTTCTTATAGAAGTCACATGTTGTGACGTATAAAAGCAACGTAACAAGAATACGATCTTGCACCCAATAATTCCTTATGAGATTTACTGTATTTTATTTCAAAATAATCTAAAGGGGAAGGTAGCAGCAGAGCGAAAAACTATGAATGCATTCACCTAGAATTGTGATCTTCAATTTACAGTAACTCATAAGATAAAAGAATCCTGAACCAAATGTCTCCTCCCCGTGCTGAAAATAAAACACTTTTAAACTAATGAACAAAAAAGAAATGTGTCAAACACATACTTCTATCAGAAACAGTGAACTTTATTGTGTTGGATTCTTTTATCCTGGGCAGTGCATTCTACCTGTGGAACATTTGGTCTTATGTGAATCTCCTGTGGCCTAAAAATCAAAACAATAAATGACATTAAAAACAAATTTTGTACATCTTTACCTTGCCTTTATTTTGAATTGATCTGATCTGTCTTAAGATCCGACAGAACATAATATTTCCCAGTTAAATGTCTTGCCACAATGACTTGATACTACTTGATGAAGCCCATCCTCCTCCTGTTCAAGGTCAGGAATTAAGAATAATTTCACTTGTATATGCCTTTCATATAAGGATAACATCTCAAAGCATTGTACAATGTGAAGGGGATCCTGAGCTGGGAGGGAGATGGGTGGTTGGGCTGGGGAGGAGGTGAGGCGTGGCTGAAGGTGGCGTCGAAAGGATAGGTCGTTAGGCAGCTCTGAAAGCAAGAGAAGGGGGTGAGACAAATGGATTTCAGAAGAGAGTTTCCGAGAGTTGGGACAAAATGGCTGAATAAAAAGAATAATGTACTTTGTGACTTTGATCAATGCTGTGGGCGGGCAGAATCCAAATGGGAGGGACTCTTACAGTGAACCCAGCGGAAGAGGAATTCCTGTTTGGTTGGGAAATTGTCAAAGTAAGATCCATTCTCAGAAGTGGCTAAAAGTATTTGACTTCACTCCGAAATCAGCGTCGCACAGGAGAAGAGGAAGAGGTGATTTCAGTCAGTTTACCAACATTTATAACATAGGTCTGTGATGCAATGATACTAGTATTCAAGAAGACGCATATTAATAATCCTTGCATTTGATATAGCGCTTTTCACGTCGGGAGGACGTCCCAAAGCGCTTCACAGAACACACTGTAAAGTGAATTGACTGTACATTTGTGGGCAACCGCGGCAGCCAATTGCGCACAGCAATGTCCCACAAACAGTCGTAGATTGAAAATGACCAATTTATTATTGTTTTTTGTTTTGGAGGGATTATTATTAGGCTCTGTGTGGAGTAAGGAAACTTGCCCAAGGTTTCGCCCTCTGCCTGGAATTGAACTCAGGTCTCTCGCTTGCAAGTCGAGTGCTCTAACCACTGAGCTACAGGACTCCACATCTATTACATCTACGCGATGCACGCAGCAGGTAAAATGGTAAAGAGACATTTAACTATATACTGTATTCAAATGTTCTTTAAATCCAGTTGAGCTGGGACAAACCTTTTCCCTTAAGTTGCTGTTCCCTTTGCTATTTCATTCCACCTGTTTTCACATTATTTCCCAAAGGGGCAACCGTCTTCCCCTCAATCCTGTTCTTCCATCAAGCATCTATTTGATCTCTCCTCTCCTCCTCCCACCTCTATCATGCAATCTCAGGTCATACTTGCTATTCTAATCATCAAAGAGTTAAGAGCTTGCAACTGGCGCTGCCCCACCATTGATATTGATGCTTTAGCTCCAGGCAACTCTCCAAAGCCTATGTTTATAAAGCTCTCCCAGAAAAAAAATATTTGTTATGTAATGACTACTGAGGGGGAAAATATATTGATTTTTCTACTAAGTGCTTCTTGAAAAAGAGCATTCGAGGTGGATTCTCAAACAGCAAGTGGCATGGCCATCTACTGGCTGAGCCAGGCAACTAGCAATATGGTCAAAGACATCATACTTGGGTTCTCAAACACATATTCATCATTGATTAAATTACTTTTAAATCAATGGCTTTGGTGATATTCATTCTGCTTTCGTATTCACTGAAATGTAGCTCGGTTTCATTTTGTTCCTTCCTTTCGATACCAATTCTGATCAGTTTTCTACCCGTTCCTCGTTGAAGGCAATTACGGCCGTCAGGAGATTTCCTGCACACAACAGGGACCTTCCAGCAACTCATCCAAGTGCTCATTCTTCACAAGTGAGACTGGATAGGAAATATCAGCATGCCTTTCCATTCCAACTGAGCCAGGCTGACACATGGATCTGAGTCCTCAGTTTTCCAGTAAGGATGCATTTATTATTTTATTTTTTTGATCAGCTGGGTGTCTGACACATGCGAAAACGGATCACCATGTACCCAAACCAAGCTGAGATTTCCATGTATTGCACCTATACATGGAAATCCCAGAGATAGATGGTTGGAATGGAATGCACTCTCTCTCCCTGGAGGGACATATCCTGCTTACCTAATTCCGGAAAATATTAGGTGCAGGTTGGCAAGAGCCAAGGCTTGGGGACTCCAGAGTGTGCATTAGGGTACTGCTGGAGTCTAACCAGTCAGAATGTATAGAGTAGTGCCTCAGGTGTGCAAGACAGCACATCTAAGAGAGCTGGTAACAGATTGGTTTGATGTGTTATATCAGGACGCCCAGGAATTAGCTAAATAATGGAGTTCATTCATTGACGAAAATAGAAGAAATATTTACGGTTCTTTGTATGGATAAGTTTACCTGGCGTGAACAATGCTTAGCTTGATCCTGGTCAGCAGTCACCAACGAGGGGATTCTCAATTCCTTCTTCAACATCTTGGATTTTCCTAGAAAAGACCAGCGGTTTGTGAACAGTAAAGTTTGTCCATCCATTCTTACACATTCTCACACCTAACAGATACAGCACATTGCACACACATTGCCAGGCAGCAGCAGAAGACTTAATAATAATAATAATAATCCTTGCATGGTAAGGATCTCGGAGCACTCCATAGTGACGGAGCTTGATGCAGAGTTGGGGAGAGAGGGGAGGTGACCAGAGATATGGTCAAACAGAAAGGTCTTCGCATGTGATCTGAAAACGGCAAGGAGGGGGCAAGGTAGAGGGGATTGAGGCACAGACTTGCAAAGTTTTGGAGCATAAGTGGCTGAAAACGAGCTAAAACCACATAGCTTGCCATTGAAAGCACTGTCTGGCAAGCTTTCCACTGCTTGTGCAGCAAGGACCACCCTACCCCCATTTGGGATCTGGCTTGCAGGGTGAATAGTAACTGAGATGGAACTGGCAGTCTGTCATCGGCAGCGCCTTGGGGTACTGTGGACACGGTACTGTGGGTCAGGAACTAGACGATCGAGACTGGCACAGAGAGAGGGTTGACTTGATTCCCACATTCCATTGCCATTGCCAAGCAGTAAGCTCAGGTGCAAGGGGGAGGTGGAATCACCAGGGGGTGAGGTGGAATCTGCCTTACAATTATATCGGTTATTACGGAATTACAAATCTCAAAGAAGCCACATATGGTCTCGTTTTCCAGGACGCACAAAAGAAGTATGACGGAGCTGACTCTGACGGAGCTGCTGCGCTCTTACAGCTTTTTACTGTAGTACCATAATAACAACAGCAACAACTTGCATTCATATAGAGCCGTTCACACGTCTCGCAGAGCTTAATAGTGGCGGAATCCAATGCCGAGCCAGGAGAAGAGGGAAGGTGACCTTAAGGCACGGTCGAAGAGGAAAGTCTTCAAGCTTGAACTGAAAATGCGGAGAGAGGGGGTGGGGGCAAGGCGAAGGGTTGGAGGGAGAGAGTTCCACAGCTTCAGTAAGGATATCACCTTGTAAGAACGGAAAGTAACTTTAAGGAAAAGCTAACTAAAAAATACACCGCCTCATTCTCAGCATTATATTATCCTATATGTTTTGGGGAAATGCGACAATCCCTTTTCACCTTCCGAGCCTTTGAATTCCAGCTGTTGACCGATTGTTGCTAACTCTGGAAAATGAAGATCCAACTTTCCTTGCTTGTTAATCTTTTGCTTCTTTTTGTTTGCATTCAAGCCTTGCTCCGGCTGTGAGGATGGTTCACTGAGTCCAGCAATCTCACTCTGAACCAGAAGGAAAGAAACAACATTTCTTCAACATCTGCTACAATGATCCTTGCTTTTGATACAGCGCCTTATCACGTCGTCGAGACGTCTCAAAGCGCTTCACAGACTATACTGTAAAATGGATTGACTGTATATTTTGCATGGCGAAAGACTAGAAGCGAAACTCAGAACGATGTCCAAACAGTGAAGATAGGATCGAATGCGTATGGCACATGAGACCTTGATATTACATAAACACAACGGCGATAAAGTATAACCCTGAGACAATATAACATTGTGACGATATTTTAATATATCCTGCGATTTTTGCCTTTTAAAGTTCGAATTCCTCCTTATTTCTACTCTCCTTTAGTTCGATTGATTGATTTACTCAAATTTCCCCTTTTGAATCTTCCTGCCTTGATCGCCCATAGCTCCATAAAGACAGGAGAGAATACCTGCCGTAGAACTTCACAAACGTAACGCTGAAACCAACTAGTGGGAGGCACTGAAATAATCTCAGGATTACATTCTCGCTGAATTTCCCTCCCCTCCCTCACTGATAGCCCCCTCTCCCTCGGGTGTGCATTAAGTTTACTTAATTGAAAAAAGCAGTGATGCTTTTTGCTTCGACCACAGCTTTTGGGCAGTGCGTTCCACATTCTCACTTCCCTCTGTGTGAAGAAGTTCTTCGTAAACTCTCTATTAGATCTGCTATCGGAACCGTAGAAATTTATAGCACAGAAGGTCACTTGGTCCATTGTGTCTGTCCTGGCTCCTTTAAAAGCAATCCTTTCAGTCTCATTCACCTGCCTTTTCCCTATAGCCCGCTCATTGACAAGAATTACCAGCTAATTTATATTTATGCCTTACAAGTCTTAAACTCACCAAAAAGTGAGAACAAGCAACCAGCATCCACCTTATTGAATGGTTTCATAACCTTCAGCCTTTCTATCAGTTCCCTCTCAATTGCCTCAACTCTTGGACTATGTTAATAGGATTTACACGTATTTAGCATTTACAGAGTAGTGTTGACGAAGCTGACTGGCACCTTGTGATACATTAGAAGACTTTTTTTTAAAAATCATGGTTCAATGGCAGCACGTAAAACTCAACAGAGAGAAATAACCTTCCTGTAAAGTGTAGAATGGTTGACAGTGTGCAATTATATTGTCAACACTTCAGAGAGCGCTTTTTACTTTTTAACCAACATCCATTAAATCTGCTTTAGTTTGATAGGGTGTCGTTCCAGCTATCAGAAAAAATGCTGGCTTTCAAAAGACCAAAATTTCAATTCCTGATCTGTCCGTGCGAGGGAAAGGATGGCAATCAGATGCTCCATAGCGAGGGTTAGTGCAGCTCTGATTTCAAAATCTTTCATGCTTTCAACAGCTGAATTAAGGGCAGCATTATTGGCAGGGACGTGGGAACATATCATCTCCTTCACCCACTCCTCAAGGGAATGGAATGGTGTGACCCAAAGAAGAGCAGAAAATTAATACCTAGCTCGTGCAGAGAAAATATTCACAATTATTACGCTAGTTATATGCGTGCAGGGAAGAAGGAGCAAACAATGCACAGAGTTCCAATTCCAATGGGCCATCAATTTCGTAATTGTATATAACTCGATTTGCTTCTGTTGAAACAAAACTGACGTGTTAACAAGTCAACAAAAGCTGTTCAACACCTGGTCCAATTACTTACTGTGCTGAGAGGTGTTTCTGGCGGTTGGCTACAACAAGGGCTCAGATTTTTCTTCCCTTTTTCTTGTGTCCTAAAACATATCAGAATTTTATTTAATCAGAAAATGAACGACATACGTACCCACAGACAGGAATATGGTGATAGTAACCTATTTACCAAATGCCAAGGGATCGGATACTACAATAGATTACACTGAGAAGTGTAATAATAATAATAATAATAATTCTTGCATTTGATATAGCGCCTTATCATGTCTTCGAGATGTCTCAAAGTGCTTCATAGAATATACTGTAAAATGGATTGAGTATATATTTTTTATAGTACAAGTACTTAAATGCTTGGTTTTTCTGCTAAAAAAAAAGGGCCACATGCATATGAGTGGGAATCGCATCAAAGAATTAGAGTGTTGAATTTGACATGGTTTCCTTTATCAATGAAAGAAGCTGAATAAAGTGAGTGTTATATCAAAGTGCATAAAAAAGAGTTCATGTTATTTCTCTATGAACACGAGGCCTGGAATGAATCCGTCTGATCCAAGTCTGAATTGTATCTGAGAAAGCTATGCTAGAAAATTGTCGTGGTGAGGTGTGTGGGATGTTTCAACGAGTGTTACACATGTAGGCAAGCCCTCCAGGACGCTACCTCGCGTGAAGAACATTGTACGTAGAGTCCTGTAGCTCAGTAGTTAGAGCACTCGCTTTGCAAGGGAGAGACCTGGGTTCGATTCCGGGCAGGGCCAAACCTTGGGTAAGTTTCCTTACTCCACACGCCTAATAATAATCCCTCAACAAAAAAAAAGAATAATTTGATCCCTTCAATCCACGACTGTTTGTGGGGACGCCGCTGTGCACAATCGGCTGTCGCGTTACATCCACAAAATATACAGTCAATTCACTTTACAGTATATTCTGTGAAGCGCTTTGAGACGTCTCGAAGACGCGAAAAGTGCTATATCAAATGCAAGGATTATTACTATTATTATTATATAAATGCAAGTTGTTGTTGGTGTTCTTGTAGATGATGTCATAGCAAGTGCCTTAAAAGCCAGAATCTCTCAGAGTCAGAATTTCTGCTGATTTTCTTTCGTTCAGCACCCAACCCTGGCCACTGCCCCAAGACACGAACCCAAGACACGTGAAGGGCTCTACATGATGCAACTTAGCATTCCTGTTCCATGCTGTAATGCTCTCTGTAGCTCTGAGTCAAACTGAAAGCATTATGAGTACATTTTCTTTTCTGCTCACTCCCGAGTAATTACCTGGTGTTTGGCGTCAACGAGGTATCGTTGGTATCAGGAATAAGATTTTTATTGGCGTTTCCCTGCATTGCTTCCCGGGCTTTTGGAGTAAATTTCGACACTGTTGGGTGATCCACTTGCTCTCCTTTTGTTATCTCTATTTTTGAGCCAACTGGCTTGATTTTTCTGCTTTTAAGTAGTCTGTCCCTTGCCGTTTCCTGCCGTGAAAAGAAAACATACTCTACGTGGTAGATGTTGTAAGGCTGGCTGAACCATCGGCTATCAATTCGAATAATTATTACAGATCAGACCTGATGTAATTTGCATACGAATGTAATGTTGTTGTTGTCAATACAAAAGCAATAACAACTTGCATCGATATAGCCTATCGGTTGTGTCACAGCGAGCTTAAGAGCAGATCCTGCTACAAAGGTTACCTTTATTACCATTATTATTATTATTATTATCATTTAATTATCCGATGCTAACTGATTAACCCTTTAGTGTGGCATTGTAGACGCAACAGTAATGAATATCAATCTTTTATGTTCCAAATGTTTCGATAAAAAGCGTCAAATGTATTGTTGAGTTTTAGACAGAACGTGCAAATTTTAGAATCTACTTCCCCCGAGGATTGTGAAACAGGATTGTGCATTATCACAACATCTACACTTTACCGTATATTCCGTGAAGCACTTTGAGGCGTCTTGAAGACGTTATAAGGTGCTACATCAATTGCAAGGATTATTATTATTATTATTATTATTACCAAAACAAGAATCCTACAAATACAATCTCACACCAAAGGACAAAAAGTCTAACCTTTACATATTTTTTGCCACTTTGTTTTCTGTTCAACTGATACAGTTCTTTTTCATATTCTGTGATTTCTTTGCTGATGGTTTTACGTTTTCTGACTAAGAGTGGATTATCTTTCAAGTCTTTAAGAACTTGGGCTTGAATCTCCGGGATAAATCTGTGAATAGAAGGAAGATATTTCATGGTAAGGTAAGTACGGTACCAACAAACCTCAGTCCTCATTCATATATGTTTTGATGACTTTGACATGTTTTTTTTCCCCCCAAATACATGTTACTTTCTTTTACTTTATAAGCAACGTTTAAAAAAAACGAAAGAAAGAAAACATGTATTGTTTGCTGGAAAATAAACAAATAATAAAATAAATAATTTTTTCTGCCCACAAAAAACCTCAACGAGTACAACACCTTTTATTTTTAATGTTTTTAATCCGCACCGATACCATTTTAATGGCCGTGTTCTCGATCCGTATTGTAGCCGATAGCGCTCTTCAATTTGGCCGGTGTTACAGCTAAATTGAAGGTGAGGGTCAAACGCAGGCAAAGTGAGGGGTGGGTGGGGGGGGGGAGCAACAACAACGACAAATGACACTTGCACAGCCCCATTCTCGTCGGAAAGACGTCCCGGGGGAGTTGGGGGTCAGGAGGGGCGGTGGGTCAGGGGTGGGGATGGGCGTGGGAGCGCGGCTGAAGGCACGGTCGAAGAGGGAAGTCTTTAGACGGGACTTGAAGGACAGCTTTTTCAAAAGCTATTGAAAACAGCCGTTGATACCTATTTGAAACCACAAGGAGAGGTGGTGTGGAGAACTGCAACGTACAGCGCCACCCACTGACTCGGACGAGGGGTCCAGAAAAACATCATTTCAATACAAAAATTGGTGCAAAGCATCAGCTACTTCACTGGTGATTGGTTGTCCAAGCAAAGGTTTGCCGCGAGCCGATGAAAAGGAGCGACACACGTTCAGGAAGAATATAAATTGTACGACAGGAGTAGAAAAAGGGAAAATCTGGTTTCAGAGACGAAGGGGTGCCAAATTAGATTTTAGAGCGCCTTTCACGTCGGGAGGACGTCCCAAGCCTCCGGGACAGGCAAGCTGAGGGGGAAAACAACTATTATTAAGTTAGGATATTACTTAAAAATGCAAAATGCTACCAGGGAAGACAGTTAAAGGAAATGTGGAAATATATTCAAAAGATTGGTATCTGGAGACAAAGCGAATAGGTGGATTATTATTATTATTATTATATGATCTGAAGGATGAGGTTAAAAAGAGGCTTGTTCGACAACATTCGTTCTCTAATATTTCTAAAGCATCCTTTATTTCTATGTAAGCGGGGAACTATAGAGGCACCACAGTCTGTGAAACATCCTCCACGTAACATACTATAATGCAGTTCGCCCACAAAATATACAGTCAATTCGCTTTACAGTATATTCTGTGAGACGTCTCGAAGATGTGAAAATGTGCCATATCAATTGCAAGGATTATTATTATTATTATTATATTTATTAATTAATTCAATTGGTAAATCTCAGAAACTTCTGATCATCCATTCATTCCTAAAAAAAATCTATTTCATCTGATATTCTCCGTCGGAGGTACAAACTAAGCAGTGACTTAATAGCTTTCCGCGTGTATTAAGATGCTCTCACTTCTCTGCAAATCCATCACCCGTGAAATATTCATGTTTCAGCAGCTCCGGACAGGACATTCTCTTGTCGGGGTCAATCTGTAAACATTTCTGTGAAAACATTACAAGAGTCTAATCAATGTTTCAGAATGCAAAATGTCTCTGGAATATTGATTGGTCCTGAGCTCTAAATTCAACAACCAAATCGCACAGAAGGTGGGACCTCTCTCTTCCCATCAGCAGCCGAAGCCGACTGCACAGAAGTATGAAGAAGATCCATTTGGAAGAATCTCTTGGGAGCCACTTCACTTTAAAGAAGAAAATCACTCGAGCTCTTCCGATAACCTAGAGGGCAAAGGAGTCACCACTGTGATGCAGCACTAGACTACAGTCTTTGGAGTCCTGTAACTCAGTGGTTAGAGCGCTCGCTTTGCAATGGGTTCAATTCCAGGCACGGCGAGACCTTGGGCAAATTTTCTGCCTCCACACGCCGGATAATAATCCCTCCAAAAAAACAAAAATCAATAATAAATTGGTCATTTTCAATCACGGCTGTTTGTGGGGACGCTGCTGTGCGCAATTGGCCGCCGCGTTTCGCCCACAAATATACAGTCAATTCACTTTACAGCATATTCTGTGAAGCGCTTTGAGAGGTCGAGAAGACGTGAAAAGCGCTATATCAAATGCAAGGATTATTATAATGTTGTTATTATTATTATGTCTGGAAAGTCAAACCCCTTTGGGACATCACACAAATGTAACTTTGTAATTCTTTTGTATTGGTTGAATCATGGCGTTGAGTACGTCTGGTTGTCTTAGTTTGGGCCAACAGCAGAGGTGCTAAAATTGTCTTAAGAAAGAGATGGTATCACTGCTCGGTAACCCCTTCTGAAACGTGTGTTGATGCCAAATGGGGGTTGAATGGGGCTCAACTATGGTGCCCCCCCAACCCCCCCTCCCCAAAGGTGAGTATCTTGCCGATACTCACCCCCGACACGCTCACATGTGCTGTGTTTTACCCACAGGACCATCAAAGCAGCCAAGGCAGAAGTGCACACGCAATGTTTGCTGTACATTGCCCTGAACTGTCAGTCCTAAAGCACAAATCAAGTGATGGTTGAGATCTCATCCGTTAGTAAGCGTAACAATTACGTGGCAATTCCACCTCATTCATTTCGCTGGAAAAATTCCCTTTAGCAACCCGGACAACAATACGTTTACACTTATACAGCACTGTCTCATGTCAGGAGGACATTCCAAGGCACTCGGGCACCTGAGCTGGGAGCTGAGGGTTTGGAGAGGGGAAAGATGGACCAAAGGTGTGTTTGAGTGACCAAATCATAATTGTTTTTCTTTTTTTTGGAAGGGATTATTACCCCCTTAATTATCATGATGTTGATTTTAAATTCGATCCGCTGGGGGATGGGGACTAGGATGGGGGAATCTAGTGCAGGAGAGGACACAAGCGGCAGAGTCTGGATAGTCTACAGCTTACGGAGGACAGAGAAGGAACCGAGGTGAGCGAACAGGTGCTGACGGAAGTCCAGCAGGAGAGCCTCTGTCTTGTCAACATTAAGAAGAAATAAATAATTCTTGTTTCTCCCAGTGCTTACCTTCACCAGAGGTGTCAATAGTGGGTTACATTTTAACAGTTTCCTTCCTGGTGTTTCACATCGTTGGATATCTGGTAAACATACTCCAGCAAATGTAGGATTCCTGCTAAAAAGACTCTTAAGATGTGCTGTCAAATTTCCTAAAGTAGCAGAAACAATTCATCATAGCATTTTTCAAAAGTTCAGAAATTTGGGGTTCACTGCAACAAATCTGGTGCTATAAGAGTCCTTACTTAAAGGATCTATATAAAAAATAATATTAAAAATAATGCGGTCACTCAATCCACGACTGTTTGTGGGGACGCTGCTGTGAGCAATTGACTGCTGTGTTTCGCCCACAAAATATACAGTCAATTCACTTTATAGTATATTCTGTGAAGCGCTTTGAGACGTCTTGAAGACGTGATAAGGCGCTATATCAAATGCAAGGATTATTATTGTTATTATTATTATTATTGCCCAGTTCCTGAGCCAGAAGACTCTGCAGGACTTCAGGGCTTTGCTGAATTTTTAAAACTCTTACTGACTCTGTCTTTTGGTACATTCTCCCGGGATAAATTACCATCGTTAAGAGTTTCTAAATAAACTGGCAATTTCACTCTTACTCACCGACTTGCAACACTATTTTGTGGATCTGGTCTAAGTCAGAGTTTCCAGGCAGATAAGGGCTCCCAGTTGCCATCTCAATACTCATGCAGCCAAATGCCCAAATGTCTACAGGTCTTTTTAGGAGTGTGTAAAGCAAACAAAAGGTATATTTATGCAGTCTGAAAACTCCTTGAGCATAAGATATAATATATATATATATATCATTGTGCCAATGTTACTTAAGCATATAGACCAAAGTTAATTAATATGGCATTCACTATTCTATTAAAGCACCTACAAGAGTATAAAATCTACATTTTTAGTAGCTTTGGTGACTAAACGAGTCTCTATTCTCTGTTTGTCTTCATACGTCTTTATAGTTATTTATGCTTCAACTTGCTGTACTGCCTATCTCTCTTTCCCTATCCTATCTCCCTGTGGTTTTGTTCTGTGTGTGACTGTCACTCAATTTTTACATGATCACTCTGTCGCCCTCTCTTGGAAGTGTGTGACTGTGAATCTTGCTCTCCGTCTGTTTTCTTCAATGCTTACACTGCGCTCTCTTGTTCTTTCCTACCTGAAGAACAACTTGGATTTATAAAGAGTTTTTCGGGTAGAGTAACGTGTCAGAGGGCTTTATAGAGACAATGCTAAACATTGAGCAGAGAGGGTGGGGAAGGAGTGACCCACTCACACCCACTGCCTCCCTATTGCTCATATGCGGTGTAGAAAACACTGTTGGGTGTATTTCGTGTACGGATTTGAAGTTTTTCATGTGCTTGGGTCTAGAATTACTTTATTTGTGTGGCATTTCAGGAAAGCCACAATCTGGCAAATTCACAAGTACAGTTCTTAACTATGAAGCTGTTTGTAAGTTATTTTAACAGAAAGAAGACGTTGAAAATGCTCCGAAAATAGGATTTAATTAGAACCAGACAAATGTTTCTCCTTAGATGGTGGATTTGCAGTCACTACGCTTTACAGTATATCCTGTGAAGTGCTTAGAGAAGTCTCAACGACATGAAAAGGCGCTGTATCAAATGCGAGGGTTATTAATATTATTTACCCATTAAACCACTGGGATGGAAACAGACCAGGAAACTTTCTAACATGTACCTACTTTCCATAATTGGTATCTCCAACTACTAACTCGGGAGCTCTGTACCAACGAGTAGCCACATACTCCGTGTAGATCTCTCCTGGTGCAGCCAATGTACGAGCAAAGCCAAAATCGCACAGCTTGATAACACCCGATCCCGAGATCAGCACATTCTCAGGTTTGATATCCCGGTGAATGATCTGCAGTCGAACAGGAGCAAGATTTAAAAAAATACCTTAGTACAAGATGAAATTAATTCATATATCTTTAATGCGTGACAATCGAATTTAATGCAATACAGTTTCAAATCGCCTTGTGCAAAATTCATGTCGTCTGTGCTTTGGCAGAAATATGATCTAAATTAAATTAGTTATATGCATCATGGACAAATTGGAAGTAAATTTAACAGAAGCACTTTGGTATACTGTACTGCCTTCAGAAAAAGTTACTCTATTATAGTCATTCTGCATCATCAAAAAAATGACTTCCTTCACTAATTAATAATATTAAAGCATAATAAAATTAAATTATAATGTAGGAAATGCTGAGATAATATCAAATTATGTCCATGTCTGTTTAAGGAAATGTTACACACTGTGAATCTCAAATAACGCAGGCTCTGGAGCCCCCAAGCCTTGGCTCTCGCTAACCTGCGCCTAATACTTTCCGGAATTAGGTAAGCAGGATATGTCCCTCCGGGGAGAGAGAGCGCATTCCATGCCAACCATCTATCTCTGGGATTTCCATGTGTATGCGGGATGTTTCCGCAAGTGTCAGACACCCGGCTGGCCGATCAAGAAGTAAAAATAATCATACGCTTTCCATTTGATTTAGAGTCGAATCACATTGTCAAAATGTCTCAAAACACTTCACAGGGTTTACTGTACAGTATAACAACTTTGTATGCGAAATATAATAGTACCAAGTCGTATCTCCCAAATATAACTAGATTGACAAATGATTATGTAAATAGGCTGTTTCATATTCTATGTGGGGAAGAAAGATCGGTTATTAATTTGTACCGATAATGGAGTAGCATTGCTAATCTTTCGTGCTGCTGCCCCTTGCTCTATGATCATAGAATCATAGAATATTACAGCACAGAAGGAGGCCATTCGGCCCATCGTGCCCATGCCAGCTCTTTGGAAGAGATACCCAGTCAGTCCCACTCCCCCACTCTTTCCCCATATCCTACAGAATCATAGGATAATCCTCCATATTAGAGAACTCGAGGTGGCTTCAATTGTGTTTTACTCACATTGTTCTTGTGAAGATATTCTGTAGCTCGCAGCACCTGAATGAGGCATTTTCTGAGCCTTTTACTCTCCAGACCATTTGGAAACCTTTCTAAATCATCCAGTATAGTGTGGTCGACAAACTCAAACACCAAAAATAAGCGCTTCTTCTGCCTAAAGACCTCGATCAAATTCACTAGATTCTCATGCCTAAATTGCTGCCGAAGAATAAAATAGGATGGAATGGATTACATTTTCAATCTACGACTGTTTGTGGGACATTGCTGTGCGCAATTGGCTGCCACGTTCGCCCACAAATATACAGTCAATTCACTTTACAGTGTGTTCTGTGAAGCGCTTTGGGACGTCCTCCCGACGTGAAAAGCGCTATATCAAATGCAAGGATTATTATTCATTTTAGCTTCAATTCTTTTTAAACCCCATTTCTCTATTTCCCTGCCTTTAATCCTCTCCTGACGTACAGTGACCCATGTTAATCACAGTACCCTGAGCAGGGTTAGTCTATTGCTATCTCATTCAAATGACTATTCTTCATGGATGGAACATGACAGTAAATCTGTGAGTTAGTCAAATGTGGAATCCATCACAGCAAGCGAGAGGACCTGGGTTTGATTCCCAGGCAGATTGTCTTACCTTAAGAAATCGTATTTCTCTCACGGCAATTTTCTTCACCAGTTTATCATCATCTCGGTCCTGAAATCTTTTGATGGCAACCACTTGTCCTGTATCCTTGTGTCTGCATTTCATTACTGACCCATAGGTACCTTCTCCCACTAGTCCCAGGTTCTCGTATGACTCCATTTCTAGGACCGGTCCTTAATTTTTAATCTGTAGAAGAACATATCACATATGCCAGTGTAAACTGATTGAAGTGATCAAGGCTATAAAAAAGGTCAAATTGCGTCTTAGGCTTCTCCATAGGGATAGAATATAACAGTGAGGAGGTGATGTTGAATTTGGACCATATTTGGAGAACAGTGTCCAATTCTGGGCTCCACATTATAAGGATATACTAGCGATGGAATGAGTACAGTATAGGGTTAAAAGGATGAAACCAGGGCTGGCAGGTTACTGCAACCAGGATAGACTGAATAGGTTAGGCCTTTTTTCGCTAGAGATATTTAAAAGGGGACCTAATAGAGGTGTTTAAAATTAAAAAGTGGTGGTAAGGCTGCTTCCGCTGCGTGGGAGTCTGCAACCAAGAATCGGATAAAAGTTGGAGGATGGTGAGATTGTGAAACTCGCCGTCTGAAATCATGGTTGAATCAGATAGTGTAGATGCATGCAAGTGGAAGCTAGACCTTCACATGAGGGAATTGCAAGCCTAGGTCTTGCACACCCTCTGGGTTTATTAGAGATAGCAAGTCTGGTCCGCCTCTGTCTGCCTCTGTTAGGGCTCCTGGAGGCTACTGAGGTTTTGCCCTCTGTCAATGATATGGAGTAATTGTTTTGAAAGTCTGTTTTTATCCCACACACTTGCCCCATACTTTCCAAATGGGACTGAAAAGTATTCCAAGAATGTAAAATGATATGTCCATTTTAATTGAATGTGCAACAAATTGTGTGAATTGGGAAGTATGCCCGCAGACTTTCTTGCTTTCAAGTTGTTTCAGATGTAGGGTTCCTCTACTTGTTAACTGATTTGGAAAAAACAATCAACAAGGCAGAAAGGTTAAAGCTGAAATGTAGTGCATCCTCCAAAAAATAGGCTTCACTGTCTTTCAGATATTCTGCTGACTAACCCCACAGATAATTTGATGGATAATCTAACGAAATGTTCCCAAAATGTGGGGTGGGGCAGAATTAAAAGATTTATGACATTTGGCTTGATTTCGACCGCACGAAATGTTATAAGAGCTTACTTTAGCAGTGGATTGGGTAAGGTCGCTGATATAATGGACTGTTACATGATCAGTGTACAAAATAGACTTGATGACTGAAAAACCTATTCTCATTCGCTTTGCAAGTGAGAGACCTGAGTTCAATTCCAGGCACAGGGCGAAACCTTGGGCAAGTTTCCTTACTCCACACGCCTAATAATAATCCCTCCAAAAAACCAAAAACAATAATTAAATTGGTCATTTTCAATCTACGACTGTTTGTGGGACATTGCTGTGCGCAATTGGCTGCCGCGTTCGCCCACAAATATACAGTCAATTCACTTTACAGTGTGTTCTGTGAAGCGCTTTGGGACGTCCTCCCGACGTGAAAAGTGCTATATCAAATGCAAGGATTATTATTATTATTATTATTATTATTATTATTATTCCAGACTTTTCTGATCTTATGGTTGGCAGCATGGCTACATGATCCAGTCCCAAACAGCATCATCACAAATTACTCTGTTACAGGCAATAATACATCATTGCCGTTTACTTAATTAAGCAACAATGTTGGTTACAGAAACTCTTGTTACACAATGTTTGGCAGCGGCAATAAGATCACTCGAAAAGAAACCCTTAATTATCTTTATTTTATAGTCACGTTTCAATCAGTCTTAAGCTTTTAATACGATAAATTGCTTAACGAGCTTTCTACGGCGAGCTATTTGCCTTGTGGACTTGGACCCACCTCACCTACGTAGTAGGAATGAATCCAATCACTGAGACTCTAGAGAAAGGAGATGCTCAGTTGCATCCATGCTGCGATGATTCATGTTGTATGTTCCTCTCTCATCAAACAGGACGAAATATATTCCATCTGGTTGATGGTTGAAACTCGCTGGGAGCAATCCTCGCTCTGCTCCCTTGGTGTTGGCCGGCAGTTGGTTGGGAGGTGCGTGTTCGGCTGGGCTCAGTGTAACACTTGATGCGTGTGTTCAAGAGATGCGTGTTAATCGCATGCCCATCGTGCTGTGCGCGGCTCGGCTCGATGGTGGGGTTTTTGCCCCTCTCTCGCAGGGTCCAACAACCTCACACTCACCAGCTCTCACGTTACCATAGCAACTCACATGGTTACGACAAACAAAGGAATACAGCCGAGTGTTTCACGTGGGGTACAAGTGCCCAATGTCCATCAGAACAGGGAGGGGATTTAGGCACAGAAAGCTTTACGTGTCTCGTTCTTCCAAACCTCGTATCAATGTCGCTCTTGGTGATGGTAGTGGCTTGATTTCTCGTTGATTACTTTGGTTGGTTGGTTGGTTGGTTGGTTGGTGGGTTGGTTGGTGGGTTGGTTGGTTGGTGGGTGGGTTGGTGGGTGGTCAACCCTTGCCAACTTCGGGGACGAGTTATGCCAAATGTCACTTGTTATTGTGATTTTATTTTCATTTCATTTAAAATATCGCCTCATGCCATTTGTTGAAAATAAAGTTCTTCACTGGATAGACGGGGGGTCTTTCTCGCCAACCATCAGTGACACTCCCTAACATTCTCGCCTATTTTGCCATTTGTGAGTATTGTGTCAACATTATCTTCACGTTTTCAAGAATGAGCTGGATAGAAATGTGTTAGGTCGGGGTATTAAGGGAAACGGGGCAAGGGCGGGTCATTGGACTTGACACACAGATTCGTCATGATCTTGTAGAATGGTGGAACAGGCTTAAGGGGCTGAATGGCCTCCTTCTGCTTCAATGTTTCCAATACACACAGCGTTTGTTGCAAGAGCAATACCATTCGGCTCAATGAGCGTGATTTAAAAGATAGCCGAGCGGGCTATCAAATGTTCCTTATTGAAGCTCCCGCCGCCTGATCATGTTGTTGAGACGTCTCAAAGCGCTTCACATGATACACGGTAGAGTGGATCGATTGTGTATTTTTATGGCTGAAACAGATAGTTTATGTCCAGCGATGTTAACAATAACAAACAAACAGACATGTATGGAGCCACCAAATGTTATATTCATTTGGGGGGGGGGGGATTTGTTTGCGAATAGTGCCATGTGATCTTTAAAGTCCTTTGAACAGGTAGATGGGACCTCAGTTTAACATCTCATCTCAAGACGACACCTCCAACAATGGGTCATCTTTAGGCTCTGTGATTCCACGTCCCGGCCCTGGGGCTTGAACCCACATCCTTCTGACTCAGAGGCGAGGGCGCGACCGCTGAGCCAGGATGATAACAGCGTAACAGCCGCTGGTTACAGTGTAACCCAAGAGTGAAAAAAAAATGGTCATTCAATCCATATCTGTCTGCGGCACAAGTGGAGTCCTCCGTAGCTTAGTGGTTAGAGCACTCTCCCCGCCAGTGAGGACCCGGGTTCGATTCCCGAACGGGGCAAAGCCTTTGGCACGTTTCCTTAACTCCGCGCCCCTCTGGTTACCCTCTGGTTACCCGCTGGTTACCCAGCAATGAGTCGGAACCCGGTTGTTAGTTGATTGGCGGATCGCTTTTCCGGGAGTGGCGGCGGTGGGAATAATCCTTCTTAAAAAAAATTGGGTCATTCGACCCCCGACTGTTTACAGGGACGCTGCTGTGCGCAATTGGCCGCCGGTGTTCCTCCCTCCCCTCCAAAAGCCCCGCCCTCTTACCACACAGCCCCGCCCTCTTCCCCACACAGCCCCGCCCTCTTACCACACAGCCCCGCCCTCTTCCCCACACAGCCCCGCCCTCTTACCATGTAGCCCCGCCCGCTTCCCACATAGCCCCCGCCCTCTTACCATGTAGCTCCGCCCTCTTCCCCACATAGCTCCACCCTCTTCCCACATAACTCCGCCCTCTTCCCCACATAGCCCCGCCCTCTTCCCCACGTAGCCCCGCCCTCTTCCCCACGTAGCCCCGCCCTCTTCCCACGTAGCTCCGCCCTCTTCCCCGCGTAGCTCCGCCCTCTTCCCCACATAGCCCCGCCCTCCTCTCCCCGAGCTCTCTGCTCGAGCAGTGCGTGCGTCACCGGCTGCGGTGGGGGGGGGGTGGGGGGTGGGAGGAGAGGAGGAGTGGAGGGCTGCAGCTGATTGGCCCAGCGGGACCGCGGAGATTCTGATTGGTCGTGGCCTTGACGGGATGGAAGCGGGCGAGCGGAACCGCGCTGCCATTGGTCCTTTTGGGGGGAGGGGCGGGAGTGGGGCGGGGTGGAGAGGGATTGTGTCCTTCCTTGTGATTGGTCGTCCCGGCAGGTTTAGAATAGTAGCCGCGCTGCCATTGGCTGCCCTGATTAAGGGCGGGGTAGCGGGGCGGAGAGAGGGGAGGGGGCGGGGTGGTGATGGTGGTGGTGGTGGTGGAGAGATTGTATCCCGCTTTGTGATTGGTCCCCTCTCCGGCGGGTTCGGCATAGTAGCCGCGTTGCCATTGGCTGCCTGGGTTGAGGGCGGGGAGTGAGTGGAGGGGGGGGAGGGGTGGGGGTGATTGACGGGCGGGAAGGAAGGAGGCGGTGCCGGCGCCTGGCGATGGCGGTCGCTGAAGGGATTTCGTCAGGTGAAACCTGAGCCGAGAAACAGGGCTGAGAGAGAGAGAGAGAGAGAAGGAAGGAAGGAAGGAAGGAGGGAAAGAGAAAAAAGAGAGAGAGAGAGAGGGAGAGAGTGGCGCAGGAGCAGAGGCTCGGACTCTTTGTTGACGAAGTTTATCATCATCATCACAACCACCATCATCATCATCATCGGTTAATTCATTAACTATTAATAATTATCCTTTCGCATCAGTCGAAACAAAACCGCCTCTCTTCCTTCTTCACTTGGGATTTTCCACCATCATCACCGTCACCGTCACCATCATCATCATGTCCACCCCGGCCCGGAGGCGGCTGATGAGAGACTTCAAAAGGTAAAAAAAAAAGAAAAACAACAAACAACAAAACAACAACCCCCTCCTCTCCCCTCCTCCTCCCCCTCTCCCCCCAAAAAGGCCCCGAAAAAAAAAGAGAGTGGAACTATTACAGGGGCTGTGACTGGAGAGAGAGAGACTGTGTGTGTGTGTGTGTCTGTCTGTCTGTCTGTGTCTATGTGTGTGTCTATGTCTCTGTGTGTGTCTATGTCTCTGTGTCTCTGTGTGTCTATGTCTCTGTGTGTGTCTATGTCTCTGTGTCTCTGTGTGTGTCTATGTCTCTGTGTCTCTGTGTGTGTCTATGTCTCTGTGTGTCTCTGTGTCTATGTCTCTCTCTGTGTGTCTATGTCTCTGTGTGTCTGTGTGTGTCTATGTCTGTGTATCTATGTCTCTGTGTGTCTATGTCTGTCTGTGTCTGTCTCTCTCTGTGTCTATGTCTCTGTGTGTCTATGTCTGTCTGTGTCTATGTCTCTCTCTGTGTGTCTATGTCTCTGTGTTTGTCTCTCTGTGTGCCTGTGTCTCTCTCCGTGTGCCTATGTGTGTGTGTGTCTGTGTGTCTCTCTGTATCTGTGTGTGAGTGTGTGTGTGTGTGGCCTGGACACTGATAGGGAGTGGGGGGGTTAATAGCCTGTATGTATGCATTGCAAAGCCTGAGAAACAAGCAGAGAGTACTGTTTGTTTATGTCTGTGTACCAGAAGAATGTTGTTGCCAGCCCTGGGTCCTCAGAGCAAATTGCCAGGAGCTGGCAACGCTGTGTGTGTGTCTCTGTGTGTGTATGTCAGGCCTGGGTACAAGCCTGACACACTGTGTGTGTTTGTGCCAGACCTGGGCAATAATATAGAGGAATATGCCCAAGTATATGTCTCCCCCCCCCCCCTTCCCCTGTGGCAGCTGAACAAGATAACAGCATTCGTTTCATTTTGCTATTACATTAAAAGCCGCAGCTTTTCTTTTGTTCTGAAGTTTTCTCACAAGTTACTTTAAGTCTGTTTAATATATTCCAAACTATAGAAATGGCATGATGTGCCATTTCGTAAAAGTGCTGCGCTGGAACATTGTGTGACTGGTTAGGTAGAATATTAGCGGAGGAATTTAAATCTATGAAAGACAGCTTGTATTTATTGAGCAACCTTCATGCAAGATTGCGTCTTTCAGTGCTGAAGCGTATTTTCCAGTAAAACATCTTTCCATCAGCTGATCTGATTACACTGTCAATAAGCTCCATTGATTTGAGACACAAATGCAATAGCCACGTTTGAGGGAAAAATTAGTAATGCAGTTGTAAAGGAGCAACAATATACGTGTTGAGATGTGACATTGTCTTGGCAGTTTTTCTTTTTATCTCCTCATCAATAACCCAATTTGATAATCTGCTCTGCTGCAAGAAGGGTTGATCAGAGGGTATACTGACCTTTACTTCTATTCATCATTCTCTTATTGGCCAGTGATTGTACTGGTCACAAGGACATCAAGAAAGTGGGGGAACGTATTTTTCATGATCACATTCGAAAGGGTCTTAGATTAAATCCAGCAATGTTGTGTAAATGTATTCCAACAATCTGACACCATATTTCGATGTCTGCACTGAAGTTCATTTAGTAGTGTAAGCCAGTAGTCTAAATTTGGCCTCATTGGCCATTGCTGTAAGAATAAAAGCTCAGTGAAAGGAAGCAGTCCTCTTACAAAACCCAGCTGTGTTATGTGGCAGCAGGCAGGCTGAAGAGGTGGGATAGAGTACTGAGAGAGTAAATCTTCCAAGGACAAGACTGCAAGCATGTTACGTCCTTTAAATGCACCTTAACCTTTAATAAATGATGGGTGAAATCCGTGGCCTTAGTTTTATTATTGCCAATAATTGTATCAGCGAGGAAGACATTTATTTAAAGCCCCCTCGACCTGTTTAGGTCTCTGTAGAATTTGCTAACACCTTAATCATTTCCCTTCTGTTTAATAAAAGTCCTGCATTTCTCTGTTCTCCATTGAATTGGGAATTAATACTACTTACGCTGTATACTCACAAATATTTGCTGTTCCTCGAGTTGAGGTACAGATCAGCCATGATCGAATAGAATAAAGGAAGGGGATTCAGGAGCCGAATGGCCTACTCCTGTTCCTATGTTCCTACCTTGATTGTTTTAAGTTTTATTGTTTTATTACAGACAGTGATGTTGCATATTTGGATTAATTTCCACAGCTGTTCTCTGTTGTATAACTATATAAAGGCACAGGGGAACTATGTTAAGGTACAAGCAGAGAGTGAAATGATAGTGGGATGTGGGTTCATTCCCCAAATAAAGTATGATTTCAACCATGATGCTGTTGTGAGGCAGAGTCCAGCTGCTTTCCTGAAGGAAACAAGAAAACATTAGGGGTACCACCAGCAACAACAACAACAAAATTACATTTGTATAACGCCTTTCACGTCAGGAGGATGTCCCAAAGTGCTGGACAGACAGAGTTTCGGACCCGAGCTGAGGGTTGGGGTGGGGGAGGGGGTGCAGGGCAGGGGGTGGATGCAGGGAGATCCAAAGCACAGTCGACGAGGAGGGTCTTGAGGTGGCGAGGGAGGGGGCGAGACGGAGAGACTGTGGGATGGAGTTCCAGAGGGTGGGTGCAGAGTGGCGGAAGGCCTGACCGCCGATAGTGGGGCGAGCGAGGCGGGGGACGTGAAGCAGGCCGGAACCGCTGAGCGGAGGGAGCGAATAGGGTGGTAGGGGGTTAGGAGGTCGGAGAGGTAGCGGGGAGCAAGACCCCGGAGGGCTTTGAAGGTGAGGACCAGGATCTTGAACGATATCCTCTGTTGTCTTTGTGCGACACAAAGAGATCAGAGAGGTGGGAGAAAATAAAAATCCCCAAATAAATTGTATTGGTAAATGTTAGGCTTATTTATAGAGGCTGCAACGATGGTTGATATAATAAATTGGAATGTTGTTGGGGTTGAAGAGGAAGCTTTATTTTATCTGTGTCAAACCTGATCTGGGAAGGCTTGATGAGAAATAATAATAATAACAATAATAATAAACATTTACACGGTATTGTAACCTAGGTTGTGAGTGAGGAATAATAATAATCTTTGCATTTGATGCAGCGCCTTATTACATCTTCGAGACGTCTCAAAGCACTTCACAGAATATACGGTAAAGCGTGTATTTTGTGGGCACTGTTTTGAGGAACAGTGCAAAAGAAACTTGACCTTTTTGCACCAACATCACAATGAAAAAAAATCAAGTTTGTGTTTTTTCTTTAAAGTGCCAGTACCCTCCTCTTTGTTTTTTTTGTAACAAGCACCGTATTGATCAACTAGTTTGAAAGCAATTTCAAAATCCTACAAAGTTTCCATACAGAGTTGTCCTAACGACTGGTTAAACTGGTCGGTCAAACTTCTAAATCTTGTTTAAATGGCGGCTGCTGAACTTGTCCGTTTAGTCCCACTTGCCTCTGCCAATTTATAATCATCTGTTTGCTAAAAATAACTTGTTTAAAATCTATTTGGACGCTATTATGATCTCTCCAACTCATGTGAGATCTTATTTCTCTCCAGAGGTGTCCTAAGGAGTTTACTGGAAGTCCCTACAAGTAGAGACAAACCGAGAAATAGAGAGTGGAAGTGAGTGAGGGCAGCTTTTCATTGCTCGCTGTCAGGACAGACGATCGGAGCCCCTCTGGGTCGCTGTGGGTGGGGGAACCGAAAAAGACACAGAGCGACATTCCATGCCTGAAGTTCCCTCACAGCAAGCTCCCTCTTCCCCCAGTGAGAAACTCCTCTACAGCCTTCGTACCCCCCTCCGCACCCTACCTCTGCGATCTCCTGACTCGGCCGTTTCCTGTTGCCCAGCAAATACTGACTTGCTTCATGCCCCTCACCCTACGTGCCCCACCATTGCCATTTTGCCCCTGCTTTCTGGAGCTCCATTCCTGGAATCCCTCTGACTCGCTCCCTCCCTACCCTCCTTCAAGGCATGTCAAGATCTAACTCTTCGACCACACTCTTCGGTCATCTTTTCCCCACCTCCCGCGGCTCCCACCCCCAGTTCAGGTGCCCAGCCAGCAGTGTCGAGGACATTGAGATGTCATTGCAACGTGAAAAAGGCGCTGTATAAATGTTATGTTTGTGAAAGGGAAACACAAAAATGTGCGGCAGTGAGTGGATATTTCTCACCTCGGCAGCCAACAGATTGGACTATCCTGAGCTAGATTATAAAACGGCTTCTTTATTTTTCTTGCTAAAGTGAATTAGTTTGTATTTTCCATCTATCCACCCATTCTGCTAGGCTGTTTATGTCCTCCTGCATTCTTCTGCAATCTCCTTCACTGTTTATCCATGTCCCCACCCTGTTTTGATGCCCTCTGCAAATTTTGACAACACACCTACTCAAATCATTTACGTATATCTATGGAGAGAGGAAAGAAAGTGAGTTAAGGTTTCAACTCGATGACCTTTCGACAGCTGACTTCTGTTTTTATTTCAGATTTCCAGCATCTGCAGTATTTTGCCTTTCGGAATTAAACGTGTCCTGTTTTGTGTTTGGCAGACTGCAAGAGGACCCCCCAGCAGGTGTGAGTGGTGCCCCTTCTGATAACAACATCATGTCCTGGAATGCAGTTATATTCGGGTGAGCCACTCATCGAGGAACCAGGGACCAGTGTCCTGGTCAACAATTCCTGAAATACAATTATAAAATATTAACTAGGATTCCGTTGTTATCTCTCAACTGTATTCCACAGCAGTAAAGATTAGAAGAAATTAATCAATGTAGTATTATACTAGTGGTTTTTAAACTGGTGTAGCCTTGTATAGCACAACTTGTCTGTTGGTTTATGTGTATATGATGTGTGATGAACCTTCATTTTTTCACATGCTCTTATCTAATGCGCTTTTTTTTTTAACCTCTTCATTTTCAACCGCAGTCCCGAAGGAACACCATTTGAAGATGGTAAGTTAATGTTACTGAAAATAACGATCAATAGAATGGTCACTTTGTTTATAAGGCTTGTGCCAGTTAATTGATTTGGTTTTTTTACAATTAGATTTCTTTAGTTGAATGATTTGGACAACAGCCTTTCAAACAGCTTGCACTTACATTGTGCCTTTCATAAAACCACAATCATCTCAAACACTTAAAATTCGAGAGGATGGCCAGGGAAGTGGCTTGTCCAGGTGAAACTGAGTGCTCAGAGTGTTCAGAGTTGGAAGCAAAAAACTGTGTCCTATTGTTCTGTCACCTAGACTGATGGCACATTGCATGCTGAATCACCAGCACACTTTAATTTATTACAAGTGTCTCATACTTTTGGAGGAAGGGAAGAGACAGATCTTTAAACTGAACTTTTCTTTCATTTCCCCTCTCTTTCCCACTTAAAATGGATGCCAGTTCCCGTACTGTGCAAAACTGGTTGGCGGGTTTGCCCACAAAACATGCAGTCACTTCACTTTATGTTGGGACATCCTCCTGATGTGAAAGGCTCCTGGTGATTCTGAGCCGTGAATACTATCCACCTTAACTTCTGAAAAAGTATTTTATTCCAATCCCTTTAAGAATTGGTACCAGATTTATTTGTGTTTCATATTTACTTAGGTACCTTCAAGCTGGTTATAGAATTCACAGAAGAATATCCTAATAAACCTCCAACTGTTAGATTTGTGTCAAAAATGTTCCATCCGAATGGTAAGAGTACATTCATCTTCAGTCTTTTTTTGCCAATATTTCCTAGAATGTTTGTCATGTTAATTACCTTCTAATCCTGTTAGCCGTGTCTCCACTAAATGTCTGCATGTGCTCATTTCAAACTACATTGCAATTGGTTTTAATAGAACACTGCAGCACGGAAACAGACCATCTAGTCTTTGTAGAATTGATTGTTAGATATCATGGCTGATTTTATTCCTCTTCCCCCCCACTCTTCGCTGAATTCTTTAAGCAAAGGTAAATGGGGCAGAAAATAGCGGGGATTAATAAAATGTGGTTGTATCTTTATTGTTCTGTTCTCCATCCTTTGCCCTCTGCTCATTGCTCCCTCACTTTGAACCACTAATGGTGGTATACTGAAGCCGGCTCAGTTGGTAGCATTCTCACCTCTGTGTCAGACGGTTGTGCTTTGAAGCCTTACATCCAGACTCTTAACTCACATTGTTCAGGCTGACACTACGCGCTGCAGATGCCCTGCGTTGCTGTTGGTGCTGTCCTTCAGATGAGACGTTTAAACCAAGTTCCTCACCAGCTGTTAAAGTGTATGTTAAAAATCATGTGGCTCTATTCAAAAAGAGTAGGGAGTTTCTCTCTGTGTCCTGGCCAACCACCCCCCAGATAATAAAATAGTCATTCACTTCATGGCTTTTTTGTGAGACATTGATCTGTGCAAATTGAGTGTAACAGTTGCTTGCAAAATACAGTCACTGCTTTCCAGTAATTTGTGGGAAGCGCTTGGAGACATCCTCTTTGTGTGAAAAGCGCTACATCACATGTAAGAATTATTCTGTTATACCCCTTGTTCTCTGCAACTCATCACCCAAAATACTTCCACCTTGCTTCTTTCCTTCCTGCTTTCAAACACCTGTCTTTTTGGCTGCACTTTTGGTAAACATCCTGAAATTTTCCTTTCCCTCTTCACTGTTTGGTGTTTCTCATGGTATCCATAAAGTGCTTTGAAATGTTCATCTGATATGAAAGATGCCATACATGTATAAGATATTGTTGTACAAGATATACAATTTCCCCAAATCTTTTTTCTTTCAGTCTACGCTGATGGCAGTATATGTTTAGATATCCTGCAGAATCGCTGGAGTCCAACATATGATGTTTCATCCATTTTAACATCTATTCAGGTAACTTTTCTGAATCTGTTACAAGCATTGCCTGAATGGTGCTCCAGAAGGACAGAAGTATCTAAGACTGATCTGAAATTGGTGATCAGGAAGTTCTCAAGTTGAGAAATGTACTAACTAGGCATGAGGTAATGATGAAAGCGAACTGGTGATTAGAGTCATGGCCTCAGTTCGCTTTCCAATTGTGAATGAACTCTGGGAGTAGGCCTGAGACACTTCCCTCTCCAAAAACAATGCAGTGCAATAAATACTTCATAATGCTGTTTTATTACATGTTGGTAACCTTTGAAGGTGAACTGGGTCCATTTCTTGCTGCTGGTACAGTGAAGGTTTTGTTTGTTTTGGTAATTTTATTGTGGCCATCAAAGGGAGGGATGGTAACACTGTAAAATAGAACACACATCTACTTCTATTAGCCTTCAACTATTCCTAGCAGCGCAAGTTGGATGCCAAGTAAGGCTCCTTCTATTCTGCCAACAATGCATCATGACCTCAATCTCAGAAGGTCATACATCACTGTGTCAATGGAAATGTTTCTGTTTCTCACACTAGTCATCCTTGTGATGCCTTTGAATGAGTTTCAGTTCAATGTCAAAGTGGGTTGTGAATTATGAACATTTCTGTGGTGTGGGCTTGTGTCGATTAGGAAGTGGGTTCATGAACGCCTCAAACATTTCACACAGGACCCTTCCAGCCCTGAGACAGTGGAGACTTTCATCCCATCTGTTTGGTCTGCCTTCATATCCCCGAGGTGAAAAGGGCAGTGTCTAACCCACTCCTTTGGAATATTTTTTTTTTAAAATCTTGCACTCAGAATGAAAGGCTGGTATAAGAGTATCCATAAACCGCTCGGATTCCCTTCACACGCAAGCACGTTCTAGATTTAAGACAATTATGGAACTAGATTGGGCGACTTTAGGAACATGCAATATCTGAAAAGCCTGATGATCTTTCTGTCTTGTCTGTTTGACTACATAGGCCGTGGTATGGTCTGTGGCAGAGCAGAGCAGGCTCAATAGCCCGAATGACCTTTTCCCTGTTTCTAATCTACACAGGCCCATTTCCCACATAATCCCTCACTGGCCAGTTTCACACATTGACCCCCTTTGCCAACATACACTATAAAATGATCTGGTTTAAGCATACATTTTAGCAAATGCAGGAAGCCCAGCATTCACTATGTGTGGAGTAGTGAGTTAGAAGATTTGGGGCTTGAATATGGATGCAGACGGCAGTGTTGAAATGAATTTAACTGCTGCCTGCATTGGTCAACAGCGATAGTGATTGGAAATTCAAGAAAAAAAGGGAGGAAAGTGAGAGATTTGTTAAACGTTGTGTAAGTTTTTTTTAAAAAAACCAAACCAAACATTGAACGAGTAACAAAACGTTGAAACCTAAACCAGTTTGTTGTTCTTACTTGTCCAGTCCCTGCTCGATGAGCCAAACCCAAACAGTCCAGCAAATAGCCAGGCTGCACAGCTATACCAAGAAAACAAGCGAGAATATGAGAAGAGGGTGTCTGCTATCGTGGAGCAGAGCTGGAGTGACTCCTAACCTACAACAACAACAAGAATCCTCTGCCGACTGTTTGTTGCATTGTTACCTGAGAATGCAAAAAAATGAAGCGCCACAGACTGGCACAAGTCTGTATCCATTCTTTGCTGATTTTAAGGAAATTTAACCCTTTAACGTTTGTGCTGTAGGGTTCTTTTGTTGCATGACGTGAATTTGTAAGCAGTATTTGGTAGATAAACTCGTACAGTCTATCGTGCTCTCTTTCCTTGTTTAGGCCTCAACACTGACCCGTCTTTGTGCACTTGGCCCATTACTCGATCGATAACGGTCAAAGCATCTCACTGGCAAGAGTGAGCTTGAAGTATTGAAAGTCTGGTTTGCATCGAGACAAATCCTGACTTTGGGAAGTTAAATTAAAAAAAAAGATATGCTTCATATCATTTTTATAATGGTGTTCAGATCTCGAAAATAGCACCGGTGTAAGTGGCCAAAGCAAGTTTGAAGATTGGAACTTTTACAACATAGGCTCGCCCAAGAACAGGAAACCAATCTGTTGTGGCATTGGTTTAACAGAGTTGCTCATTCGCAGTCATGCAGTCCTCAGTATAGATTGGCAGTGGGCTGGGCTTTTCTTTCCTACACGTTTACTGGAAACCCTGGATTGGTACCAATGCCAGGGTGTGCTCTGCTCACATTCTGTCCTGTATTTTCCACTCAAAAATGTTTTGCATTCGATTAACACTCAAGGGACTATGTGCCATCTGCCAAATCTGGTTGGTACAATGTGACTGGAGGCAGCTGTGGTTACAGCCAGCACTTTGTCATGCAGATGAGTATTTGAGCAATTGAATCAAAAAGGCTTGAATGTGTAAACCAGATACAAATCTGGCAAAGAGCAGGTGCTTGGATTATTCAGGTGCACACAGCACAGCTTCAGTAATTAGTGGCTCAGCACTCTTCGCATATCTTTCAGAGAAATAACCCCTCCTTATGTTTGCTATGTATCATTCGCGGCAGGGGTTCTATGTAAAGCCAAGCACAACTACACTTTAGGAATGCTGCAAACATTTTATTCAATATACTTTATTCTTTATTTCCCCAATGCATTCATTGTTTTGCTTTGTACTTTTGTCGCCCAACAGTCGTGCTTAAACTTGTACAAGTTGATCCTGGCAAAAACATTTCTTCCCCCCACCCCCCCCTATCATTTTCAGTACTTCCCTCACCTCTCCTCAAGATACTACTTTGTCCCAAGTGTCTATTCTTTGTCAGTCGAGACAGGCAAAACAAAGTGATGGAAGAGGTTTCACTATGGGTGGATCACAGTATTCTAAATCTATCTTTTCCTGGCACCCACTCAAATGGGCTTTATATTTAAAGAGTTTTAATTTTTCTCGGTATGGTATTTCAATGACTAATGGCCTTCATATTGAGAAATTAAGCTTTTTTTTAAGGAGGAACAACTAACAATTTCAGCAAATATCATCTTACCTCCCAGTAAGTTTAATTGGAGAACCACTTAAATCTCTTTACTATGTTAAAGAAATGCCCCTTTCTGTGCTTAGGAACAGAATATTGGAAATGTTGTGCATATTTAAGTGCACAATAGAGCCCAGTGCAATCTTTTAAAATTATTTTTGCTTCAACTTTGCAAAACTTTGTACTGTAGCAAACAAAATTCATATTTTAATGATTTTCAAAATTGAATCGTTCAACATAACTTAAACTCTCATCTCAGATGAATGATGGGACAAAGTGGTTTGCCTTGTGATCCTCTATGAGTGTCCTCAGTGTTGCACTGTGATCAATTGACCACACTGGCTCTGTTGTCACTCCACTTGGTGACTGTGAGGTGAACTACCTACAGCCTTTCCTCCTCCCAGCGACACCAGGTGTCTCTTGACCCCAAATTTATAATTACGATGAGCGAAAAGGGAATTCTGCATCATCCATACTCAAGTCCTGAGCTCCCTCAGCAGCCGGAACACTTAAAATATGCACTTTTATTAGTGATGCACAGCAAAAATAGCTACTGCTTTTTCTATTTTGCAAAGTGTGCACTGTGTCGGGGAAACGACAGAGGTTTTGTGCTGGGACTTGCTAAGGCCTAGCATTGCTACAAATGACTGTATTGATAGGATACTTATACATCAGCTCCATTAAGTATTTGGCAACTGCCTCTCTGGGTCACCATTGAAATGATTGCAGACTAAGCCAATAACTTATTTATCACAAGAAGCAATCCGTATTGGAACTTTGGAGATCAGTTTACTGATGTGTGTGAACATTTTTTTAAAACATGCTTTTAGTGTAATTAACTTCATGTGACCATTATACTCCTATCAGAATATTATGTTTATCAAAGGGTTATGTTTTGTGCTGTGTTCAGTGCACGTTATTTCTGTTAATGTTTGTATGAAGATTTTTTGGGGTTGTTTTGGAAAGGTGTATTTTCAAAATGAGACTCTTTAAGGTGCACCAAGCAATCATTTTTGTATTCTGTGTGCAGTGCAGTGAAGAAATCTTACCTGTTCAAGTAATTCAAAGTGTTATCTGTTCATTATCTGTTCTGCTCAAGAAAATCTGTTCACTTAAAGCTGTAACAATACAAAATGTTTATCTAGCAGAGAAATAATGACTGACTGTGAGTACTGACTTCTAACTGGGAGAACTTTTGACTTTTTTTTTCTTGCTTTTATTTCCCACTATTAGATAAGTATCAAAAACAATTGATCAATTGACTGGTGTGTGTTTCATTTTTATAACGTAACACTTGTATAGTCTTCTGAGCAGCTGCAGTTTTGTGCTGCTCCTATGTTGTACAATATGTATTAATGCAAAACTTTTCAATTTTTTTAAAATAAAAGCCTTACTTTGGGAATATGGGCACGATTATGAGGCAAGTTGCAATCAAGGTTTCAGAAAGCTGAGTAATGAAATTGCGGGTTTCTGTTACAGCTATTCAATACAAAGTTGGTCATTTCTACCTCCCTTTCTTGCAGCTTTTATCAATAATAGTAATGTACATTTAACAGAACTCAAAGCAGCATGCTTACTTTGTGAGAAATCATCCTGCACAAGTTGAGACTTTCAGCAACAACTAATTATACTTATTTAGTACCTTTCATGGCCAGATAATATCTCAAAGTGATATACAAAGACTTGAGTGGGAACTTGCGAGAAGATGGTTGAAAGCAAACAATGAATACGTCTTTAGTTGCAATTGGAAGCAGTTGATTTGAAAAGCAATTTCCAGAGGCAAAATAGCTGAAACTTCACCTGTCAATGGTGGGGATAAAGGAAGCTGGAGTTCATGAAGTAGGAGTGGCTGGGGGAGTCATCACAAGAGATCAGAGATGGCTGGGTCAACAAACCTGAAGACGAGGGTTTTAATCAATCTGCTGGATGGGGAGATAGACGAGGATGAGGTGAAGAGTCTTGGACTGTTTGGAGTTTGTAGCTGAGCAGGAAATTGAATGTCACATTGGAAGGTGGCAAAAGGGAGAGGTTAATCACAGCAGCTGGAACGAAGGTTGGGTGGGCAGGAATTCAACTGTTTTCTCTGGACATTTTGGAGGGAGTGGGTGAGTATTGGAGTGAGAGAAGTCAGGAGGTAAGAGACGGAAGAGAGAGCAATGGGGTTGAGTGTGCTGAACAGCAGAAAGTTGAGCTTTACGGGGAGAATGAAGCAGCTCAGGAGACTGACAAACAGTGGCTCTCTGAGTACAATGAAGGAAACCCAGTCTTGGAACAGTGGGAGGCAAATACAGCAATTTTAGAAGTGGCAGAAAAAGAAGTGGGGAACAGCAACAGGAATCGAGAGGGAGTAATGGGGAACAAAAGGCAAAGTGGATAGGGAAGAGAGAGAAGAAAGGAAGGTAAGGGAGCTGAGCTCCAGTGCAACAGTAAATTTACATCTGTACAGCACTGTTCACGACAGACACCCCAAGATACTGGAAGCAGCAGCTAAAGCACACGTGGAAAGGGAGAAAAGAGCAGAAACTTAAGAGGTCACGCTAACACAGGTGGGAGGGAAACACCTTGCATTTATATAACGTCCCTTTGAGTAGGGTAGCGTCCCAGAGTGCTTGACAATGGCGGAGTCTGAAAAGGGAGGCGGTGAAAGGGTATTAGAATGGAGTCAGATTCAATGTTCATGTTGGAGCCTGTCCATGCAGTAGCTAAGATCAGTTGTAAAAAGGTAAATCGTTGGGAGTTGTAGTGCGCGCAGGAGGGCACGAGGAAGATGGATCCTGTCGAGCGGGTGCAGGAGCTGGTGGAGACTTGCAGTAGAACATTATTTATAAAGCATCCCAAATCACACAGTACGTTTTATTTCTGATATCTACAAATAAAACAGTTCCAAAACTTTGCTACAAATCAAAGATGCTGAGTTTACATCCAGACCAACCTCTCTAGTTCAAATTATCTTAAGATGTCATCCCATCGAAACATTAGACAAGATGATTCTTCCACTCTGTATTCTGGCCAAGAGCATGGAAGCATTAGGTAGTCGGCTTAATGTGCACAGTACAAATTTTTATCCCACTGCTTCAATTACCATCAACACCTTCCCCAATCTAAAACTACGCACGCAGTTTGCCTATAATACACACTGAAATTAAGATTTTAAAACATCACTGGTCCTTTATGCAGAGGTCAATTCCAACCATAATTTTTTTTTGCAGTCAAGTTACAGCCCCTTAGGGCTGTGGTGCTCTTGTATCATTAAGTCCGTTAAATCATCAAATACCGTTACAAATTTATCTAAATATTCACCTCGAAATTTTAAAAACGCACTGATTCAGGCTTTTATCTTAACAAAAAAAACAAGTACTTATTTCTTCCGCAATAAAGTAGGTCCGTATAATTGCTAGTAATTGAATTCAGCCCAGAAAAANTGGAGTGGCTTGGTTGTCAAATTAAAAGATGCATAAAAAACAGTACATTTGTTGCCAATTTAGAAAATATTTTAAAAACTCTGCCTTTACTTGGGAATCTTCCACTCCCTTCCCCCCCCCCCACCCCCCAAATTTGCAGTTGTACGTGAAAAAATACCTTAGGATAACCCCATTAGAAAGAGCTGTTCCATAAACTCAGATCCCACATTAAAATGACACATGATAAAATGGCTGCCAGGTTGATAGGTCACATCTGTCACATCCCAGTTGCTGTTTATGCACAAGATGTATCTGTCACATCATTTCCTTTGCAAAGCGACATTTGTGCTGTTTCCTGTTCACAATGCAGTCGACAAAAAAAATGACATCAGGGACACTTCCTGCACATAGTGTACAAGGTGTCAGAAGCATCATGACACAGAAGGCAGCCATTATTTAGCAATGGGAAGCCAGCTAGTTAATGCCAGTAGCTAGTTGTCCTTTGCCTCCACAACAGCCCAGGTCCACTGTCCATCCTATAAGTAGACCAGTACTAAACGGGGTTGCCCTGCATCGAACTCTGTGATCAATATAAAAAAAATACTGCCTTCCTCTGGGATTTAACATTTGGCTGTGCAACCAGATCAATTTAATCTTGCTTCCAGTTCATCATAAAAAGACATCTGTCATACACTTGCTTCTACATCTAATTTAAAAAGTCACAACATAAGTATTCAGTCCAGATGCATCTTTGGCCTGTTCCTTCCTTGTCTCTGTACCCGAGCATCACATCGTTGCTGGGAAAAACAGCAGAAATCGGTTCCCTCAGCAGGCTTTTATTCTGGTGGACACTTATTGTTTCTGAAAACAGACAAAGTAAATGAGCAACATTGCTGAGATTACAACTTCAAATGTACATTTCCTTTAAAATAAAAATACATTTCACCTTCTGACTGGTATATTTTAGGTCTTCCATACCACACATCATTTAAAGCCACAATAAAGGTCAATGACCTGCTCCCAGGATATTGCCAAATAATAATAATAATAATAATCCTTGCATTTGATATAGCGCTTTTCACGTCGGGAGGACGTCCCAAAGCGCTTCACAGAATATACTGTAAAGTGAATTGACTGTATATTTGTGGGCGAACGCGGCAGCCAATTGCTCACAGCAATGTCCCACAAACAGTCGTAGATTGAAAATGACCAATTTTATTATTGTTTTTTTTTGGAGGGATTATTATTAGGCGTGTGGAGTAAGGAAACTTGCCCAAGGTTTCGCCCTCTGCCTGGAATCTATTGATTGTAAGGACAAGCAGGGAGACCATAGTAATTCACTCTCTCTGTGCTTTAAGAAGATGTGCCTTGCTCTGCTGGGCAATTTCCTGCCCAGTACTGAGACAATGCTGCTTTACAATGTTAAAGCATTGCAATGAAACAATATCTTAAACAACATATAAACGGTTCTCATTCATAGATTGTATGTAAAGATTACTCAATCAACTGTAAGAATGTTACAATTAGCTGCAGTTACAATTTGTGAGATTATTATCGTTTCCTTTAGCATGTGTCGACAACAAGTGAGGGAAAACATCCGGCAAAAGTATCATTGTGAAGGCCAGCTCACAACACACACTATCAACAACACTTTACAGCAGTGGGGAAGCAACAAAGTAAATTGTCTCAGGAAAGATAAATCGATAATTTGTTAAAAAATATCAGTCTCAAGTGAGGCAATTACTGTACAATTACCCGTTTCATTATTTCATCTCTTGTCGTGAAAATAGGTGCATCTTCAACGTCGACGCCATCTGCCATTTCCAACACCTTCTCCATGAGACCCTCGTTGTATCTACAATACAGGAATTAAATAATATTTTTAGATTTGACAATAATACCTTAAGGCAAAATGTCTCCACCACTCAGGTGCTATCCTGCAAGAAGGGCCGCTAGTCGTCGTCTCAAAGCGCATCACAGAATATACTGTAGAATGAATTGATTGTATATTTTGTGGTTGAAATGCGGCAGCCAATCGTCGCACAAAACAGTCATGAACTGAACTGAACAAACAATTGTTTTTTTTTAAAAAAAGGATTATTACCCCCGAAAAAGCGATCCGCCCACCAATCGATCAACTAAATCAATAATAGTTTAGTGTTAAAACAAGCACTTGGACAGGGGCAATCCACCGGGGAATCGACCCAAATAGCTGGAAGCAAATAATAATAATCCTGGCATTCGATACGGCGCCTGATCCCGTCTTCGAGACGTCTCAAAGCGCTTCACGGGCTACACTGTCAAGTGTGGTGACTGTGTGTCTCGTGGGCGAAACGCAGGGCAGCCGAATGCGCACGGCGGCGTCCCCACGAACCGCCGCGGGTTGAAGCGACCGGTTTTATTTATCGTTCTTTGTTTCTGGAGGGATTATTACCAGGCGCGTGCCGTGCGCGTGCGGGTGTGTGCGCGCGTGCCGGTGCGCGTGCGGGTGCGTGTGCGGGTGTGCGTGTGCGGGTGTGTGTGCGCGTGCACGTGCGGGTGCGTGTGCGCGTGTGCGGGTGTGTGTGCGCGTGCTCGTGCGGGTGTGTGTGCGCGTGCGGGTGTGTGTGCGTGTGCGTGCGCGGGTGCGTGTGCGGGTGCGGGTGTGTGCGCGCGTGTGTGTGCGGGTGTGTGTGCGTGTGGGGGGGGGGGGGTTTAAGGGAACTTGCCCAAGGGTTGACCCCCTGGCTGGGAAGCGTACCCAGGTCCTCTCGCTTGCCAGGCGAGGGCTGTTGCCACTGAGCTACAGGGATCCAAATGCAAGGATGATGATGATGATGATTCTTGTCCTTGTTGTTGTTGTTGTTATCAGCCCCTCCCCCCCTCCCCCACTGGCTCTGCTCTCACCTGCAGCCCATGAACACGTGATTGGCCCAAACCATGGACAGGGCCACGAGGTAATCGGTGTTCTGTTTGTGCTCCTCCGACAGGTTCCTCAGCAGGAACTCCCTGCGCGCGGTCCACTGCTTGTCGCTCTCCCACAGGCCCCGCAGCCCCTCCACAAAGTCCGCCGTCTCCCGGTTCTGTTTCAAATAATCTTCCACGTCGTCCGCCATCTTCTTAACAGCCGCCCCCTCGCCCGCCCGCCTTCTTCCCGACCTTCTTCCCGGCAGCCACCGCGAGTTACAGCCAGAGACCCGAGGGAGGGAGGGGCCTCCGACCTGCTTCCCGGCAGCCACCGCGAGTTACAGCGAGAGACCCGAGGGAGGGAGGGGCCTCCGACCTGCTTCCCGGCAGCCACCGCGAGTTACAGCGAGAGACCCGGGGGCCCTCCGACCTGCTTCCCGGCAGCCACCGCGAGTTACAGCCAGAGACCCGGGGGAGGGAGGGGGGCCCTCCGACCTTCTTCCCGGCAGCCACCGCGAGCGGGGCATCGGTCGCTCGGCAACCCGCCGCTGCTCTTCTCGGTCGAGAACATTTAAGCGGCAGAAGTTTTATTGGGGGGAACATGTCTGAGGTTCTCCCCCTCCTCTCCCCCTAACCCTGCGGCGATATGGAAGCGAGTAAGAAAGTTAAAAGAATAAGAAATAAGATAGAAGGAGCGAGAGATACGCACCAAACCCCCCCCCCCCAAAAACAAATGTAGGTAGTCACTTCTTTTTGCCTTCCCCCCCCCTCTCCCCCCTTCCCCCCTCTCCCCCCTTCCCCCCTTCCCCCCCTCTCCCCTTCCCCCCCCCCTCCCCCCCCCCCCTCTCCCCTTCCCCCCCTTCCCCCCCTCCCCCCTCCCCTCCTCCCCCCTCTCCCCCTTCCCCCCCTCCCCCCTTCCCCCCCTCCCCCTTCCCCCCTCCCCCTTCCCCCCTCCCCCCTTCCCCTCCTCCCCCGTCTCCCCCTTTCCCTCCTCCCCCTCTCCCCCTTCCCCCCCCTCTCCCCCCTTTCCCTCCTCCCCCCTCTCCCCCTCCCCCCTCTCCCCCCTTTCCCTCTTCCCCCCTCTCCCCTTTCCCCCCCCCTCTCCCCCTCCCCCCTCTCCCCCTTCCCCCCTTCTCTCTCCCCCTCTCCCCCTCTCTCCCCCCCCAGAAGCTGTTCGGACGGAGGCTTTGCATGACTTACTTTTTACTGTAAGACAGTGTCTGGGCATCGTGTGGGAAACAACAACAAGTTGGATTAATAGAACTGCCTTTCGTTTCGTGACGACGTACGTCCCCCAAAGCGCTGGACGATCATAATAATAATAATCCTCACATTTGATACAGAGCCTCTTCCCGTCCCTTGGAGACGTCTCGAAGCGCTTCGCAGGATAGACCGTAAAGTGAATTGATTGTATATTTTTGTGGGTGAAACGCAGCAGCCGATTGCGCGCAGCAGCGTTCCCCCCACACCCCCACACAAACAGTCGGGGATTGAGTGATCAATTTATTTTCTTTTAGGGATTATTATTCCCCGGAATTGACTAACAACTGAGTTCCTGCTTACTGCCGGGTAAACAGAGGCAAAGGATGGGGCGAGGCAGAGGGTCTCCGGGATGGAGTTCCAGAGGGTAGGGGCAGAGAGGCTGAAAGTACGACCGCCGATGTTGGGGTGGCCAGGGCTAGGGACATGGAGCAGGCCATTGCCCGCTGAGTGGATGAAAAAAAATTGATTTAACTTTTGGGGCAAACAGACATTGAGATGTTGGCTAGGGTTCGAGAGCTGCAATAATGCTCTAAAGTATGAGTTGGAACCTCACACAAAGCTGAACTTGATGTAACTAATAACACATTTGATACAACACCGAGAATGCCTTAAAAGTATTCACAGGAAATTGCTGTAAAGTGTATAGTATATTTGTATGCAAAAAAAAGGACATAACAATGTCCTGAAACCAAAATAGTTAGGAAGTGAATTTATCTGAAGGAATAGCAGCCCAACACATTCTGCTTATATAGAATAACATATTACATAGAATTGCATGGAATATTACAGCACATAAATGGGCTTTCTCAATTAGTCTATTCTGATATTTATACTGCACATGAACCCCCGTCCCTCCTATTCGCACCTAAATCCATCTATTGCCTTCTCCCTCACATTTTTTCTGAAATGCATTCTTGCTATTGCTTCAACCGAATTCTCACTACTCTGCGTAAAGACGTTTCTCCTAAACTCCCTTTGACATCCACAACTAGCTATCATATTTATGCCCCCTCGTTTTGGACTATTAATGTCAATATATAAAACCCTGTCATAACATCACTCACCTCTATCAGTTTCCTTCTCAATTGTCTCATCTCCAGAGAGAAAAGCTCTAACCCGTCCAGTCTTTCTTGATAGCTATACTTACTCATTCCTCGTAGCATCCTAGTAAATCTATGTTGCTCGCTCTCTAAATACTACAAAATATTTTCTGTAGTATGGTGAGCAGAATCACGAATGAGGTCTAACTAAGGTTTTAGATAAATTTAACATTACCTCCTACTTTTGTACTCTATTCCTCTGGGCATAAAACAAGAAACTATTTGTATTCTTTATGGCCTTGGTCCACCTGCGCTGCTACTTTTAGAATCTTGTGGATCTGAATCCCTGAATCCGTTTGCTCCTTTACCCCTCTTAGGTTCTTACCATCCAGGATACCAAAGTGGATCACTTCACATTTCTCTAAATTAAATTTCATCCACCACCTATCCAAAGATTATTTTTCATACAGAGTAGTGGACAGGTGGAACAGACTATCAGTGAAAGCAACTAATGCTGCATTAAATGATTCATTCAGAAAAAGAAGAATTTGAAGATGTGTGGACAGCTGAAGACTTGGACAAGCAATTACTTGAATAGTGGGGATCTGAGATTCACTGGCTGTTCTGAAGCTTTTGCTTGCATAATCTTTTTTAAGGTGTATCTTCAGAACTTTCTCCTAGGAGATAGAGTGTTTTATGTTTTCTCATGTTCTTGTAGGGCATTGTGAAAGACTCCAATATCTATCAGAGACGGACATATTGGAATTATAGGGCCAAGCAGAGAGGTCATGATTGACAGAAGTGGACTTCTACAGGTATTCCTTTTTAAAAATAAATACTCTGGTGTTGAGTTCTTGTTTTGGGATATCTCGAAAACTGCGCAAGTAGCAATCCTAAACATATGGAGACAGACACCGTACCAACAAATAAACAGTGATAAATCCCCACTATACACACAAAAAATAGATACAAATCAACTAAGGGGGCAGCCATTGAAAGACATAAAAATAACATTGCATTTGGTATAGCACCTTTCATGCTAGTCATCTGCTCCTCTTTATAAAATAGGATTTATTCTCAGAAGTTGGGTAAGTGTAAACAGCCTGGTTATTTGGGTCTATCAGAATCTAGCATTCTGGAGTCCTGTAGCTCAGTGGTTAGAGCACTCGCTTTGCAAGCGAGAGACCTGAGTTCAATTCCAGGCAGAGGGCGAAACCTTGGGCAAGTTTCCTTACTCCACACGCCTAATAATAAACCCTCCAAAACCAAAAACAATAATAAATTGGTCATTTTCAATCTACGACTGTTTGTGGGATATTGCTGTGCGCAATTGGCTGCCGCGTTCGCCCACAAATATACAGTCAATTCACTTTACAGTGTGTTCTGTGAAGCGCTTTGGGACGTCCTCCCGACGTGAAAAGTGCTATATCAAATGCAAGGATTATTATTATTATTATTAGCATGAGAGCTCCAAATGTTCACTTGGATGAGAGGTTCTTACTAGATTTGAACAGAAAATCTAAAGTACTTGTGTACTTGTGTGCGACAGCCAGGTAATTTACTATCTCCTGGCACAGGAACAAACTTGGGCGAATTCCACTGAATCAACCCTCAGGGAAATCACATTAAGTTCAGGTCACCCTGATCCAGAGAGAATGCAATCTCAGAGTTTTCGGAGACAAACAGTGCTTTTGTCCTTCAGTCAGAGCTTGATCTACAATTTACAATGTGGAGTCAGACACACCTCTTCCACCAGAAGTGCGGATCAGTCGAACCCTAAACACAAACTTTGCTGCATTGTTCAAACCCAAAGATGGATTTTTCCTGAAGCATTTTATTGCCTAAACTATTTTGATTAGGGCTTGTTTCATTGGAGCTTCAAGGCAGGAGGCGATAGTTCATGCTGGCAGTACAATATATTGGAGACGGATTATGATTGGGAAGAGACACAGCGTGAAGGCCAAGCACTGGGTTGGGATAAACCATTCTTCTGCACCTCCAACTAGCTGGTTCTAGAGTGTAACTAGCTGGGTACAAGGAACAGGATTTGAAAATCAGTCCACCTTAATGGCAGGGCATTGCTGTAGGTCCTTTAAAGAGAACAGGTAAAAACAAAGGAAAGATCATTCACTTTCTCTTTTATGATTATAAAAAATTATTATTAAAAAAATGCCCAAATTGAAGTTTCTCCCTGGCACAGTGTGGTGGTACTCTATGGTACACAAGAACATAAGAATTTGCTGGCAAAAGAAGACCGAGGTCAATCTAGTTTGCCTTCCATCAGCCTGGCAGTCACTTGGCATGTTGTGATGTCCCAAACTATGTCCTATATCCTGAGATATCATTTTCTAGCAGAAATCTATCTGATTTTTTCTTGAAACTGCACAGTATAGTGTGGGCTCAGAACAACAGTTCCAAACGTGGCATGTTGTTTATCTTATGTTAATCTGGAGAGATGCCGATAGGGAGACGACATTTCCCTACAGGGAAGAATAAAAACTCAAGAGTTACTACTTGCTGCCATTAATGCTTCTCCCAGTGGTGGAGTAAAAGATGAGGAATCAACCAAGACATTGATGTACTTTTGAATGTTTAGGGATGTTTTTCCTTCACATTGCTCTAGCTATTGAAATCAGTCTCCGAGAGTCTATAAATAGTTGTGTTCTGCACATTGAGTATTTCTTTTCTATCCAATTTTCCCCCTCCTTTTCTGAAGGTCCTAATATGCACTGGGGTAACGTTTCATGGTTCATCCCCCCCATTTTCCTTTAAACCCCCCCCCCCCTCCCTCCTTCAATGGCAATTCTTCACAAATGAGCATAGACAATGAGTGTCAACAGGCTACTTAACCATTGAGACGTATCGAAGACGTGAGAAGGCACTACATCAAATGCAAGGATTATTATTGTTATTAT